CGATGCCATCACTATTTTTATAAAGTTCACGCTATTGCATTTTATCTTTCCGGGTTCTGCAGCAAACCTAACCATCTAAACACATCAATCACAATAGTATATCACAGTTTGCTCTATTGTTGGTGTGATGACATGATATAATACTGGAACGAATAAACGATTATTGCAGAATCGTAACGGTGGTTTGCCGAGTCGTTCGAGCACTGGTCAGTTCGTTGGTGTTCGAATGCCACCAAATCACCCTCAGCAACTACCACAGCAAATGACAATTCAACAGAAAATACCCGGTCATGCGGGTCTAACTGTCGGTCCAAAAACACGTGTAGCATTCTACTTGAACACGACACTGTCGATGCGTATCGCGAGAAGACTCGCCCCAAAAGTGATCCTCAATATACGGCGATCAGCACGACGACCGTTCTTGCCCATTAACGCACATGCGATCAAGCAATATTGTTAGTGGCGTTTCTTCTTGCTTCTTAAGTTTATCAACGGTTTGCGGTGTGAAGGTGAATTAACTTTGAAAGTGTCACAACAGTCTGTTGGGAATTTGAGGTACGACTCGACAACCGATGGAAATAATTCGTGCCGCAAAGCAGATCAAAGGAAACAAGTTAAGTGATGCTGTGTTAGCGCAGTTGGCCACATCGATAATCGCCTCAGGATCTCAGTTTGGTGTGTTGGGCACCGCTACCTCCTCATCGTCTGGTGCTCAAAAGCGTCCGCAACCGATCACTGATAAGTCGGTGCCAACCGCGAAACGACAGGTTCGTTTTACATTCGTTTAATTATCACCGTAGATGTTCACATCCGTTCAGTCGTTTCGTTGATTCACTTCATCATTTTCTTTTTGTATATTTCACACACTGTTTTGTCATAGTGAGAAAAATTTTTCAAATTTGAATGCGAAGTATCGATGAGGTAATTTCTGCATAAAAAAGTAGTGGAAAGAAGTTGTTGGGACCCTGATTTTTTGCAGTTGTGTTATGGGATATAATCTTATCATACCAAGAGCAGATGAATGAATAGTGTTTCGAAGGCCAACATTCATCTTGTGTCATTAGCGAATAACGTGTTTGAACGGATACCTAAGTATTCATGGGGGATGATTGGAATATAGTTGAATAAATATGGAATATTAAATATCTAGTTGAATGAATAATCGTTAACGCAGAAATTACTTCGTGGTTGGTGAATAAGCTGTTAAGTAGTTATAAAATTGAGTGTTTCATGATCAGTTTTTGATAATGGATTTCTTTGACGATTACAAAGGATTAAAGATGAATTTGTTGAAGAGAAATTTGGTAACTTGTTGTTTGTATTGAATTTATATTCCA